CCACTGTTTAGTGGCACTTCCTCCAGTCAGGTCCAAATGTCCATACAAACCTGAGCCTGGGGGAAGAGTTATCGCTGATCATGGTTGCAATGATCTGAATCCTACTTGGCAACAGTTAGGCTTCAATTTGTATAAAAAAAATCAAAGTTCAGGATCTGCGGTTGAGTTAATTGTTTGAATAGATCAATATTTTTCTGTAGGCTTAGGACTGAGGACACCTTAAGTTCATCAGGTTTCCCCGAGGACATTCTCTATTGGTGGCCACCACTAAGGCCAGTTCAGATACCAGTCCTAGGGTGGTCTCCTGTGCCACATCATAGTCATCTGTAGGATCTGGAGCTTCTGGTTACTGGCATGCTGCAGGAACGATGCTTGTTGATCTTGTTGAGCGATCTTCATGGTTGACTTAGGATCGACCCCCCCCAGATAACATATTGCTTGTGGCTCATTTTATGTTGGAGGTTTCTCCAAGGTCGAAAAAGACGAGTTAGGGGTATCATCATAAATAATATAATAATAATAATAATAATAATAATTCTTACATCGATCTTTTTCGAAGGTCCCATTTTAAGTATCATTGTGGATGCTTGGGCCTCCTTTCATTTTATGATGCTAAGTAATTCACTCTAGCATCAATAGACCCTCAAAAATTATGGACAGTCTTGAGGCACCCTCTAAAATTATGGACAGTCTTGAGGCACCCTCTAAAATTATGGACAGTCTTGAGGCACCCTCTAAAATTATGGACAGTATCGAGGCACCCTGTAAAATTATGGACAGTCTTGAGGCACCCTGCAAAATTATGGACAGTCTCGAGGCACCCTCTACAATTATGGACAGTCTGAGGCACCCTCTAAAATTATGGACAGTCTCGAGGCACCCTCTAAAATTATGGACAGTCTCGAGGCACCCTCTAAAATTATGGATAGTCTTGAGGCACCCTCTAAAATTATGGATAGTCTTGAGGCACCCTTTAAAATTATGTACAGTCTTGAGGCACCCTTTACAATTATGGACAGTCTCGAGGCACCCTCTAAAATTAGGGATAGTCTTGAGGCACCCTCTAAAATTATGGAGAGTCTTGAGGCACCCTTTAAAATTATGGACAGTCTCGAGGCACCCTCTACAATTATGGACAGTCTTGAGGCACCCCTCTACAATTATGGACAGTCTTGAGGCACCCTCTAAAATTATGGACAGTCTTGAGGCACCCTCTAAAATTATGGATAGTCTTGAGGCACCCTTTAAAATTATGGACAGTCTTGAGGCACCCTCTAAAATTATGGACAGTCTTGAGGCACCCTTTACAATTATGGACAGTCTTGAGGCACCCTTTAAAATTATGGACAGTCTCGAGGCACCCTCTACAATTATGGACAGTCTTGAGGCACCCTCTAAAATTATGGACAGTCTTGAGGCACCCTCTAAAATTATGGAGAGTCTTGAGGCTCCCTCTAAAATTATGGATACTCTTGAGGCACCCTTTAAAATTATAGACAGTCCCCAGGCACCCTTTAAAATTATAGACAGTCTTGAGGCACCTTCTAAAATTATGGACAGTCTTGAGGCACCCTTTAAAATTATGGACAGTCCCGAGGCACCCTCTAAAATTATGGATACTCTTGAGGCACCCTCTAAAATTATGGACAGTCTTGAGGCACCCTCTATTGTTGTCATAATTGGCTGTCAGGATGCTGGCGGCTGGAGGGTTGTAATGGTGCATAATGAAACCCGGTAGCTTTGTGTAACTAAAAGGCCGGCTTGTTCCACCCGATGGCTTGTATACACAAGGCACCCCTGAAGAAACCTCAAGGCACCCCAAGGTGCCTGGGCACCCTGGTTGAGAGAGGCTGCTCTAACGACACACAGTTGTTTAGAAAAATATAGGAATAGCAAGAAACTATGGGCAAGAGGTCTCCTACTGCGTGAGCTTTCCATCTAGAGAGTGATAAGAGCTTGATTATGAAAGTTGAGGGACAGATGAGAACAAGAGATATTTGAAAACCACCAAGGATATACACGACGGGGGAAGATCTGACTGCAGAAAGCTTTGTAGGTAGGAGTTAGAAGGTTGAACTCAACTTTGGGAACCAGGGGCGGACTGACAACTCATGGGGCCCTCGGGCAATAGGGGATCTGTGTCCTCACCCACACAAATCACACCCAAAAAAGCCTATGAAAGGTACCAGGGGCATCTTAAGGGGCAGTGCCCGAGTGCCCAAATGGTCAGTCCACCCCTATCAGGAACTAGCATTTAGAGATAGTATTGAAGAGGAAAAGAAAGAGGCAGATGAGTCCAACTGGGATTGATGTTGTCCCAGTCTGGTGGACTTTGATCATCCAGCAGAGATATGAATAATTGTGTGCTGCAGCATGCATAGGGAAGATACTGAAGCAAAATATGTTTTTAAGATGGAGTCATCGAGAGGAGAGAAAGTCTAGGTGAGACCAGGTATCATCCCCTACCTGAAGGGGTACCCTTTTTTGTCTGGATCATCACCAGAAACCTGCCCGGCATGGGAGACCCTACAGATAGCATTTCTATTGCCGGTAAAGCCCTCTGGATCCTTTGACCGCGCAAGCCCCCCACTGCGTCAAAGTAAGGGTACGTCGGGAGGTTATCACAGTTCAGGTAGGGGAAGATGTAGGAAAAAAGTCACACAGAAGGCAACATTGGTAACTGGCTCTGATGGACTAAATCAGATTTGTGGGGGCTCTTCCTGGTATTAGTGTGTTCTTTTAAGTACGGCATGGTTTCCACATCCTCCTGAAACAGAAGAATAGAACATTATTAATATCATTTATTTACTTATCAAAAATTATTGTGGTTATCATAAAAAAAAATGCTCAGAACCCATATGGAAGAAAAATAGATTTGAAATATATTTAAAAAATATTCTTCCCAAATATATTGACATATATTTTAAATACTACAATTTTGGCCATATTCAATATATTTCAATAAATATATATATACATACACACACTGTATGCTGAAATGCATTTTTTTATATATTACAAAATATATGAAAAATATTTTTAAAAATATATATACTTTCAAAAATATATTTCAATAAATATGTATATATGTATATATATATATATATACACACACACACACACACATATATATCTAGATATAGATATATATATATATATTGCATGTTGAAATGCGTTTTTATTACAACATATATGAAAAGTATTTTTAAAAATATATTTCAATAAATAAATAAATAAAAAATAAATAATAGTAAAGTAAATATACATACTGCATGTTGAAATGGATTGCATTTACAAACATGTGCAAAAATATACTGTATGTTAAAATGACTTTTTCATATGTTAAATAAAAAAATCTGAAGAATATATTTAAAAAATCTATATTTTTAAAAATATTTTTCAGATATTTTGTAATATATAAAAAACGCATTTCAACATGCAGTATATATGCTCTGCAATATTCACCCAGCCCTGTCACCCTTGTTAGCTGTTTCCTAACCAGAGCACCATGGAATTCTACAGTTCCTCCAGAGGTTGCTAGGGGTTCCTCATGAGACTTGTAGTACTTCAACAGCTGGAGGGCCATAGTTTGGACACCCCCTGATCATAAGCTGACCTTGGTATGTCTAGATCAGCAATTCCTAACCAGATCACCATGGAATTCTAGAGTTCCTCCAGAGGTTGCTCAGGGGTTCCTTGAGCCGTGGCTGATTGACATCCCACTTGATGACGTCTACTTAAATCTGGGGCCAGAGCCATTTGGCAGAGCCAGCGGGATAACACCATTGACCTTGTTAGCTGTTTTCTAACCAGAGCACCATGGAATTCTAGAGTTCCTCCAGAGGTTGCTAGGGGTTCCTCATGAGACTTGTAGTACTTCAACATCTGGAGGGCCATAGTTTGGACACCCCTGATCATAAGCTGACCTTGGTATGTCTAGATCAGCCATTCCTAACCAGAGCACCATGGAATTCTAGAGTTTCTCCAGAGCTTGCTGCAGGTTCTTCATGGGTCTTGTAGTACTTCAACAGCTGGAGGGCCATCATTTGGACACCCCTGATCATAAGCTGACCTTGGTATGTCTAGATCAGCCATTTCTAATCAGAGCACCGTGGAATTCTAGAGTTTCTCCAGAGGTTGCTAGGGGTTCCTCATGGGACTTGTAGTACTTCAACAGCTGGAGGGCCATACTTTGGACACCCCTAGCTTATGATGAAAACATGTAAAATCATAGTTCTTCCTTTAGTAAAAACTGCATGTCAAAGCCATCAGGAGAACTTAGGAATGGCTGATCTAGACATACCAAGGTCAGCTTATGATCAGGGGTGTCCAAACTATGGCCCTCCAGGTGTTGAGGAACTGCAAGTCCCATGATTCAGCTTATGATCAGGGGTGTCTTGCCTGTGGATGTCAGAGTCTTGAAAGGCCTCATGGGACTTGCAGTTCCTCAACACCTGGAGGGCCATAGTTTGGACACCCCTGATCATAAGCTGACCTCAGTATGTCTAGATCAGCCATTCCTAACCAGAGCACCATGGAATTCTAGAGTTCCTCCAGAGGTTGCTCAGGGGTTCCTTGAGCCGTGGCTGATTGACCTCCCACTTGATGACGTCTACATAAATCTGGGGCCAGAGCCACTTGGCAGAGCCAGCGGGATAACACCCTTTGTTAGCTGTTTGGGAATGGCACTCTGACCACCACTGAAGGACGTTTTCTCACTGGCCACCAATTTATGGATTTTAGCAGGGGTTCCCCAAGACCTGAAAATTATTTAATGGGTTCCTCTGTGGGTAAAAAAATTTGAGAAAGGCTACTCTATATTTTTTATTATGGTTCAGATAGGTCAAAGGTAGATACTGAAAATCAACTAAGAAATAATTCTGCAATAGATTGATAATTCTTACCTTGCGTCTTTTATATACATAAATTACACAAGCGATGAGTACAAGAAGTAATTCAATAAATATACATAAACCGATGACAATGAAAAGGACGTTCGTTTTAGCAGACTCAGTTGATGTTCTCTTCTCAGCATGAGCTTCAAAATTTTGATCTGTTACATAAACACATCCTCAAATTAATATTTTTGACAAATCACATTTTAGACATTTACAATAAATCTCTAAAAAAAATTAGTTTATTTATTAAAGGAGGTATGGATATTTTTTTAATTTTTATACTGGACCAGCTTGGACCATACCTGTGGGATCCTCCTGAAAGCTGGAGAGCACTGTAGTAGGCCTCCCTACTCCAAGGATCTCCACCAGCTTCCATGTCCTGCGCCTAGAGGTTGTCTTTTGGCATTGTGAATACAGGAGGTTGACTCGCTTTGTATTGAGAAAGCTTTGTATTTTCTCAATGAATGCAAAGTGTTCTCTAATTGGACGAGGTGGAAGGGGGAGGGGTGTGATGATGTCCCGCTCTTCACCTCTTCCAATCAAAGAATGCTTTGCATTCATTGAGAAAATGCAAAGCCCATGGGCATATTAAACATCGTCAACTGTCAGTTCTTTGGTCTTGCATAGCTTGCATAAAAAAATCATAAATTTCGGGCTGTGTTCGTTTTTTGCCTATTTTCTTAATTACTTAACAAAAACATTTTAAATATTTTTTTAAAATTAATTTTGAATCAACATGATTTTTTGGCAATTGCCAAGGGTGGGGATGGAGAACCTTTTTTTTTTAAATAATAAACCTCTTATTATCAAGTTTTTTTTTAATAATCATTTTGTTTTTTGTTTATATCTTTTATTCATTTTAATTGCAGTGCAAAATAAAATCACATTAACATTAACCAATTCCAATCTATTCATAATACCTAATTCCCCCCCCCCCCCCCCCCCCCCCCCCACCCTCCATTCATTTTCATTCATATTAATTTTGAACCAATGTTTTTTGGCATTTGCTAAGGATAGAAATGGAGAGGTTTTTCAGAATAAACCACTAATAATCACCTTTTTAAAAAAAATTTTTTAAAATTAACTTTGAGTCAATGTTTTTTGGCATTTGCCAAGGGAGGCGAGGGAGAACTTTATTCGGAATAAACTACCATGCATCAACATTTTTAAATATTTTTCACAATTAATTTTGAATCAGTGTTTTTGGCATTTCCCAAGGGTGGAGATGGAGATCTTTTACAGAATATACCACTAAATATCACCTTTTTAAAAAATATTTTTAAAATTAATTTTGAATCAGTGTTATTTGGCATTTGTCAAGGGAGGAGAGGGAGAACTTTGCTTGGAATAAAATACCACTCATCAACATTTTTAATATTTTTAAAATTAATTTTGAATCAGTGTTTTTGGCATTTCCCTAGAGTGGAGACGGAGAGCGTTTTCAGAATAAAACCACTAAATATCAACTTTTTAAAATATTTTTTAAATGAATTTTGAACCATTATTTTTTATCATTGGCCAATGGTGGGAATGGAAAACTTTTTTTTCAAAATAAGCCATTATACATCAATATTTTTAACTTAATTTTGAATCAGTGTTTTTGGCATTTGCCAAGGATACAAATGGGGAGGTTTTTCAGAATAAACCACAAAACATCAACTTTTTTAAAAATATTTTTAAAATTTATTTTGAATCAATTTTTTTTACCATTGGCCAAGGGTGGAAATGTAAAACCACTAAACATTAAAATTTTTAATATTTTTTAAATTCGTTTTTTAATTTTTTTTTTTTCTGGCATTTGCCTTCTTAAGCATTGGTGTGATTGTTACATTTATATGATTATATTGTTGAAAGAAAGAATGGGAGTAAAGTATTACTATAGTAAAGGTTCTATGAATGGAGGAAGGGGCAGAAAGGGAGGCCATATGTGGTACTCTTCAGGAGTGCCTTTGGCAGGTCTAGCACTCCTGTTAACCACTGCAGGAACCAGAAGATTATGGCTGCAGGGGTAACGGGGAGGTGACCAGAGAACTTTGGATTTCAACTAGGACAGGTCAACTATAGTACAGCTTCTATGAATGGAGGACGGGGCAGGAAGGGAGGCCATATGTGGTACTCTTCAGGAGTGCCTTTGGCAGGTCCTGAGCTCCTATTAACCACTGCAGGAACCAGATTATGGCTGCATGGGTAATGGGGAGGTGATCAGAGAACTTTGGATTTCAACTAGGACAGGTCAGCTATAGTACAGCTTCTATGAATGGAGGATGGGGCAGGAAGGGAGGCCATATTCGGTACTCTTCAGGAGTGCCTTTGGCAGGTCTAGCACTCCTATTAAACACTGCAGGAACCAGAAGATTATGCTGCAGGGGTAATGGGAAGGTGACCAGAGAACTTTGGATTTCAACTGGGACAGGTCAACTATAGTACAGCTTCTATGAATGGAGGATGGGGCAGGAAGGGAGGCCATGTTCGGTACTCTTCAGGAGTGCCTTTGGCAGGTCTAGCACTCTTATTAACCACTGCAGGAACCAGAAGATTATGGCTGCAGGGGTAATGGGGAGGTGATCAGAGAACTTTGGATGTCAACTAGGACAGGTCAACTATAGTATAGTGACAGGTCTACTGCTCATATTAACCCTTGGGGTGTCAAGGAGAGGGGAGGGGTTCAGAGGACTTCTGATTTCAATCAGGTCAACCGACACCAGCACAAGGGACGCTTCTCATTGAATGTAAGTACTATCCCTTGTGCTGATAAAAGTTCCCTCAACATTTCCTAAGGTGGAACCACGAGTGGACATCACAATACATAGCTGGAAGACATCGATATTTATTGCTTTGTTTGCCAAATGGTTCGTAGTTTTGGTTTTTTAGGTTTCGGCTTCCTGGGTCAGCTCCCAGTTCATTGAACAGAGATGGCGATGGTGATCTATTGTCCAATGAGAAGGCATGGAAGTGACATCAGAGGCTGACCTGCTGGACCAATAAAAAGACTTAATCGGCAACGACATGGCACCCATCTATACTCTACAGACTTCCCAATGGAAAACTCACCAGAAATGTCGACCCGGTACTTTCGCTCCACTATTTTTTCCTTTATTTGAAAGTATGCAGGCTCGGTACACTCCATGATTTTTTTTCTTGGTGAGCTCATTGAAGATCAGGGAGCCATTTTCTGTGCTTGACAAACTTCCTTCGTACTTTTTCTCTAGAATGCGAATATTTCCATCTACGTTTGTTGCAGCCAAGTAAACCCATTTCTCCGTGAGCCAATCGATCTCTTCAATTTCACTCTGTTCCATTTTATCGTATTCCAATGGCAGGATGAAACTGACTCCGATTGTAGCGTATACAATTGTTGGGCCTTGAAGAGATGGTTGATAATACACGTTGGTCAATACCAGTAGACCACTTTAAGACCAGGACATTTCTGGTACTTTTGGTTTCACAATCAGTATTTTTTTTGCTAAAAATGTCTTAGAAACCCCAAAACATTATTTTTTTTTAAAGCAGAAGCCCTAGAGAATAAATTGGTGGATTTTGCAATTTTTTATGTCACTTGGTATTGTCGCAGCGATTTTTCAAACGCCTTCATGAGATGGTTCATAATACACGTTGGTCAATACCAGTAGACCACTTTAAGACCAGGACATTTCTGGCACTTTTGGCTTCACAATCAGTATTTTTTTTTTTTTGCTATAAAATGTGTTAGAACCCCAAAACATTAATTTTTTTTTAAAGCAGAGGCCCTAGAGAATAAATTGGTGGGTTTTGCAATTTTTTATGTCACGTGGTATTTGGCGCAGCGATTTTTCAAACGCCTTCATGAGATGGTTCATAATACACGTTGGTCAATACCAGTAGACCACTTTTAAAACCAGGACATTTCTGGTACTTTTTGGTTTCACAATCAGTATTTTTTTTTTTTTTTGCTAGAAAATGTCTTAGAACCACAAAACATACATTTTTTTTAAAGCAGAGGACCTAGAGAATAAATTGGTGGGTTTTGCAATTTTTTATGTCACACGGTAAAGCAAAAACATGTGTGGGACGATTGCTGTTTTTTTTTAATAATTAATTTATTTTACATTTTTTTTTTTTAAATTTTTACACTGTTGCTTTAATTTTTTAAAATCACTTTTACTGCTGTTGCAAAGAATGTAGACAGCAAAAGAGACGTGACAGGTACTCTTTATGGAGGGATCTTGGATCAATAAGACCCCAAATCCCTCCTCTGCACTCGAAAGCATTCAAAAACACAGAGATCTGTGTTTTCAAATGCTTTAAAGTTTTTAACAATAGCGCCATTGACATCATCGCGTTCACGTTACCGTAGCGGAGAGCCGATCGAATCAGATCTGATTCTGGCTTTGTTAGGCCCTCCGACCAGCAAGCAGACGCGACGGTCGGTCGCTTGGGTCTCCTTGTGGGACAGGAGATCCCGAGCAAGTGGCAGAAGGTCCCACATGGAAGAAAAATATATTTGAAATGCTACAATTTTGGTCGTATTCAATATATATAAAAAAAATATATATATATATATATATATATATATATATATATATATATATATAAAATGTTATATATATATATGTTTTTATCTATATATTTATATATATATATATTATATATATATATATATATATATATATTATCTATCTATATATATATATATATATGTATATATATATATATATTTTTTTTTTTTTATATATATATATATTTTAAATATATATATATATATATATATTTTTAATATATATATATATATATATATATTATTTATATCTCAAACGACTGATGTTCATGTGACCATTGAATTTGAGTGATCGGGCATGTTGGAAATTTTTTTTGAAAAAAAACAAATTTCGAATCAATGATGGGAGAATCGAGCGAGAAATATATATATCTGTAACCTGGAAAGAAAAGAAAATTCTTGGCCATGAAAATTCTTTTCTGAGAAATTGAAGGCTTGGTTGGTCGAATTTCAAAATCAATGGTGGCGCCATCACGTTACAAAACGCACAAAATATCCAGCTTTCTAAAGAAAATTTGTTCGGAGTTCGACCTGTGTATGGCCTGTATAAGTGGGACCCTAAGGAAGGACAAGCGCCTGTGTATCTGCTACTCCAATCAGAGGATTCTATCATGTTTGCTCATTATCTAACTACACATAAAAATAAAAAATAATAGAATAAAACACACCTGTGTCATGATGGATGAACTTATGACCTACGAAAGAAGAGAAAAATCGTTAAGAAATATTTCAGCAAACTTAATTCAGAATCACAGATTTTATTTTGATATTCATATCAGCTTTCTGTGCCCGTTATGAGGGGTTCCCACCATCCCTGTGCTGAGTTCCCATGTCTGTACACCCGCTGTGCCCGTTATGAGGTGTTCCCACCATGCCTGTGCTGAGTTCCCGGGTCTGTACACCCGCTGTGCCCGTTATGAGGGTTCCCACCATCCCTGTGCTGAGTTCCCCGGCTCTGTACACCCGCTGTGCCCGTTATGAGGACTCATGTGGCAAGCATTTCATTGGTTGTTAGGATAGGAACTCTGCACGCAGAAGTGCCCGGGGCAGCCGCCCCTCCTGCCCACCCTGAAAGTAACCTCTACTGATGCCATTTTCTTCCTCCGGAATCGCCCCGAGCTGGAGACATATTTGCTTTACCTGATAGGAAGACGTTCCTGTGACCAATGTAACTCCGAGGATCCATCAACAAGACCTTCAGAGAGTTATTGGTCCAGAAATGAAAAGAGTTTAATGGCTCACCTTGAAAAACGACATGGTAATGTATGGAAGAGTGACTTTTATTAGTCGTCGATATATCCACTGAATAATCGTCTCCGTCTTCCCAGCACTGCGCTCGTATAATCAGGGGTCCGCCATGACGCAGCTTAATTTCTCCATGTACATGTCCTGTACGATGTGTAGGGATCCGTTTCCAAACCCCGTGGCGATATGTTCGTTTCCTTTTTTTTCCAGATGTACTCTTCTTGATTCAGTAGGTGTTCAGGCAGCCATAGGGTGATCTCATCCTCCTTGTCCCCATATATGATTTTGCTATTGACACTTTCAGCGGTGACACCTAGACATCAACAGAAATGTGTTGTTATTGTTGGAGTGGTCAATGCAGGGGGCGATTGTTGGAGTGACCGCTGGAGGGGGGGCGATTGTTGGAGTGACCGCTGGAGGGGGGGGCGATTGTTGGAGTGACCGCTGGAGGGGGCGATTGTTGGAGTGACCACTGGAGAGGAGCGATTGTTGGAGTGACCACTGGAGAGGGGGCAATTGTTGGAGTGATCACTGGAGCGGAGTGATCACTGGAGTGGGGCGATTGTTGGAGTGATCACCGGAGAGTGGGGCGATTGTTGGAGTGATTACTGGATCGGGGCGATTGTTGGAGGGATCACCGGAGTGGGGCAATTGTTGGAGGGATTACTGGAAGGGACGATTGTTGGAGTTATCACTGGAGTGGGGCAATTGTTGAAGTGATCACTGGAAGGGACGATTGTTGGAGTGATCACTGGAGTGGGACAATTGTTGGAGTGATCACTGGAGTGGGACGATTGTTGGAGTGATCACTGGAGTGGGGTGCATGTTGGAGTGATCACTGAGGGGGTGATTGTTGGAGTGATTACTGAAGTGGGGCGATTGTTGAAGTGACCACTGGAGGTGTTGATTGTTGAATTGATCACTGGAGTGAGGCGATTGTTGGAGTGATCACTGGAGTGAGGCGATTGTTGGAGTGATCACTGGAGAAGGCGATTGTTGAAGTGATCACTGGAGTTGGGCGATTGTTGGAGTGATCACTGGAGGGGGGGCGATTGTTGGTTGGAGTGATCGCTGGAGGGGGTGATTGTTGGAATGACCACTGGAGGGGGAGATTGTTGGAGTGATCACTGGAGGGGGCGATTGTTGGAGTGATCACTGGAGGGGGCGATTGTTGGAGTGATCACTGGAGGGGGCGATTGTTGGAGTGATCACTGGAGGGGGCGATTGTTGGAGTGATCACTGGAGTGGGGCGATTGTTGGCGTGATCACTGGAGGGGGCGATTGTTGGAGTGACCACTGGAGTGGGGCGATTGTTGGAGTGATCACTGGAGGGGGGGTTGTTGGAGTGATCACTGGAGGGGTGATTGTTGGAGTGACCACTGGAGTGAATGGAGAGGTGTGGTGGAAGGCATTAGTTGAGTTGCCAGATTGGCTGGGAGGGTGTGGATGCCGAGGGCCCGAATCAGTCGATCGGTGTGGTGGACTTTGAGAAGAAATGTTGAAGCAGCTGAAGGTGTGGGAGTACATGAAGGCTGCAATGTGAGAGATGTTGGAGGAAACCACTGTCAAAGACTACTGGGCACTGAAGGAAGCAAGCGGAGAGGTGCTGTGTAACCTGGGAGTACTGGGAGAACAGCTGAGGGGGATTGACTGAGTGCACTGCCAAGCACTTGTAGAACTATTGGCACTGTGAGTACCAAGGGACATTGTGAGTACTGAGGGGCACCGTCATAAAAACTGAGGGGCACTCTGAGTACTGAGGGGCACTGAAAATAACCAAGAGGCACTATGAGTAGCAATGGTGACTATGAATACTGAGGGGCACTGTGAGTAACCAAAGGGCACTGTGAAAAGCAAGGGGTACTGAGAGCAACCAAGGGTCACTGTGAGTACTGAGGGGCACTGTGAATAGAAAGGGGTACTGTGAGAAACTGAGGAACACTGACAGTAACCAAGACACACTGTGAGTAGCGAGGGTCACTGAGTACTGAGGGGCACTGTGAGTGCTGAGGTGTGCTTATGAGTAACCAAGGGGCACTGTGAGTAACTAAGGGTCACTGTGAGTACTGGTCACTGAGTACTGAGGGGCACTGTGAATACTGAGGTGTGCTTATGAGTAACCAAGGGGCACTGTGAATAACTAAGGGTCATTGTGAGTACGGAGGGGCAACTGTGAGTAGAAAGGGGCAATGTGAGTAACCAAGGGGCACTGTGAGTAACCAAAGGTCATTGTGAGTACTGAGGGGCACTGTGAGTAATTGAGGGGCAATGTGAAACCAAGGGGTGCAGTGAGTAACCAAGGAACACTGTGAGTACTGAAGGGCACTGTGTGTAACCAAAGAGCAGTGTAAAATTAATGGGCACTGTAAGCACTGAAGGTAACTGTGAGTACCGAGGGGCATTGTGGGCAATTAATGAACACTGTGACTAACCAAGGGGTACATTGAGCACTGAGGGGCACTGTGAGTAACCAGGGGGAACACTGAACACTTAGGGGGACTGTGAGAAAACCTAGGGGCGATTTGATAAACACAGAGGAGCACTGTGAGTACCGAAGGGAACTGTAAGTACTGAGGGGGGCATTGTGTGTAATTAAGGCGCACTGTGACTAACCAAGGGGAACATTGAGCACTGAGGGGCACTGTGAGTGACCAAGGGGAACACTGAGCACCTAGGGGCACTGTGAGTAAACCTAGGGCCCTTTGACAAATGCCAAGGGGCACTGTGAGTACTGAGGGGCACTGTGAGTAAACAGAAAACGTGGAAATCCCATTTAGTTGGATGGCAATGTCCAGTAGAAGGTCCCTTCTTCCAGGGACACTCAGCTTATACCTTGACACACAGAAAGAGCTCAACGCATCGCCCAATGCATCGCCCAACGCCTCGCCCAACGCATCGCCCAATGCATCGCCAAACGCATCGCCCAACGATCGCCCAACGATCGCCCAACGCATTGCCCAATGCATCGCCAAACACATCGCCCAACGCATCGCCCAACGCATCGCCCAACGCATTGCCCAAAGATCACTCAAAACATCGCCCAACGATCGCCCAACGATCACCCATTGCCTGAGTAACAACAACACATTGGAAGATAAACTTACCATGTACAATCAGTGAAATAACTGCTAATACTGTAGTATACATCTTGCTCTGGTCACCGGTTTATCGGGCTAAAAGAGTAAAAAAAAACAAAATGTTAAAATCACAGAAACTTCCCACTGGACCTGCAGTCTGGTAGTCGAGTTGATTTGTGATTGTGACCAGGGGCGGACTGACAACTCATGGGGCCCCCGGGAAACAGGGGATCATGGGGCCCCTGTGTCCTTTCCCACACTCAAAGCACACCCAAAAAAGCCTATAAGAAGGTACCAGGGGCATCTCATGGTCACGTTCTACCTCCAGGGCTCTCGCAGGTATACCATGCTACCAGATCACACCCCATATTGCTGTGTCGTGAAGATTGTGAAGACTCACAAGGACAGAAAACAGGACCGTCGGAGGAAGCAAGGAGCTTAAAGTAGACCTGGACTCAGTGAAGATGCTAGGGAAACATCTAGAAATGTTAATTGTGACCCTGAAAAAAAAAATCTTACCTTTGTCTCAAAATCCTCCTGGAACAAGAACAGTGTATTTCCCCCGCGCCTTAAATATTAATAGCTGTGTATCTGCAGTATGAGATCACCCGAGGCACTGCTCCCCCTGGCTCTTAGTCTCAACAGATCTGGAATGAGATTTGATGATGTCACTGTTATGCAACAATATCAGCCGAATGATCGATGTGCAATTCGGTGTTTCCTGAATGAATGCAGGGTGAGTCGACAAGGCAGGTAAAGTAGTGAAAGGATAGGCAATCAGTAATGCAAAGAGTACAACAATCTATGGAATCACGTACAATAACTGGGATGCTAGCAGTAGTTTCCACACTTAATCGCTAGGTGGCAGTAGATTATAACTGATTTCTAGAGCATAGCCATATGGAAGACAAATATATTTTAGAAAAAAAAAAAAAATTAGACATGCGACATACATTTACAATACACGAATATATTTTAACATGTGTTTTCAAAAATGTAAATGAAAATATATTTTACAAAGGCATATATTTAAAAATATATTTTTTAAAATACATTTTCCAGATATGTTTGCTGGAGGGGAAGCTGTACCTGAGAACCTGCAGTGCAAGGATCTCCCTGCTCCTGTTTCATCCATTCTTTAGATCTGTGCTTGCTCTACCTCTGTCATTACCCCACCAGTCATCATATATTTCCACGACTGTGCTGCATACAGTTCTCCTTGCTGGAGGGGAAACTGTACCTGAGAACCTGCAGTGCAAGGATCTCCCTGCTCCTGTTTCATCCATGCTTTAGATCTGTGCTTGCTCTACCTCTCTCATTACCCCACCAGTCATCATATATTTCCATTACCGTGCTGCATACAGTTCTTCC